ACCAAAAAAACAAAAAAAAGCCAAATGTCAGTAATTTAAATTCAAAAAAGGAAATCATTAAGATACTTTGTGGCTTTTCTTACAATAAAAATCAGTTCCATTCTTAAATCTTTCTGTGGAATTTAGCAATTAATATTCCCACCTTTCCCAGAAAGTATTTGAAGCTTGAAATAGAGGGTGAGTTGTTGTTGGCTCCAAATATAAATATACAGCCCTGACTACAATGGAGAGCCAGACTTGTTTAAACAGTGCAGATGAAAGCCAAAACACTTGTGCCAACGGTCACGCTGCAAATTTCCTCTTTCCTTTTTGAAATTAAAAAAAGGCTTGCAAAGATTCAAAGGTCTAGAAAGAAATGAGTAAGAGCAGAGTGGGAGGAGAAAGGACAATAGTTGTACATATGCAGGACGCACTAGCTCGTATGATACCTACAAAATGCTTATCCAAACATTTTTGGAAAACTCCTATGAAGAGTCCATACCTTCCCTCAACAACTTGTTCAGTTGTCCTACTGTTCTGAGAGTAAGGAACCTTTTCTCTAGAGGTCTGAAAGCCTCCAAAGACTGGAGATGAATTGCTAGTTGTATTCTTGCTTTTATAAAAGAGAAATAGCATCATAAAGGTGGGATTCCTCCTAGATGACGGGTATTTTCTTGTATCGGGTACAAGACGCATCAAATATTTTGAATTACTGGATCCGAGAATTGATCTGCATGTCATTCATTCTCTTTTTTGGCATGTCCTAGTTAGATGCTTCCCTTGTTATGGGATGTTTGAGTCGATGCATTACAAAAATACCATTCTTCGGTAAAACAGACTTCGCAAAGCAAAGCAGATCAACTGTTGTGGGACATGTCACTACTGCTGATCTGTTTTATTGAGCATAGGAAGTGGCCCATTGTCCTGCATCAGGGCCTGATGTAGGACAAGGGGTGACATGTTCCCAGTGCCTGCAGATTCCCTGTGTCCCTGACTGCCCCACACCTCCTTGCCAGAACCCATGCATCACATGGAGGCACAAGTCCTGCCTGGCAGAGGGTGGGGCAGTGTGATACAGAGGCTTCCCCAGGTCCCTCCACACTGGGACCCACACCATTTTCTGCACTGACCTGTGCTTCATGTGGAGGCATGAGTCAATGCAGGTCCTGGCATAGAGGCACAGGGCGCTATGAATTACCTGGGTCCCGGGTCCTGCACTGCTCTACACATCCTTGTCAGGATCCATGCTGGTATGTACTTCTTGTGTGAAGCAGAGGTTGACATGGGTTGCTGTGTAGAAGCATGGTGTCATGCAGGTCCCAGCATGGAGTTCTAAGGATTCCCTGGGTCCCGGGCGTTCACACTCGGGCACACGCTGGCAGTCTTCACTTATGGAAACAGCCCCTTGGAGATCTTGAGACAGGTCTCCATAAGTGGGGAACCCCATTTTCCCTGCTTAGAGGCAGCCCAAGGTTCCCTGGGGCATGTCTCATAGTTTCATGGTTTCATAGTTTCTAGGGTCGGAAGGG